TTCTTTCTTTCTTTCTTTTTATTTTTTCGCTGCATTATTATTTTTTCTCTGTTTACTGATTCATATCGTTTCTGGGTTTTTTTTCTCTCATGAAAATTGAACAGAAGAAAGAACAATTGTTAGAGATTATTGAAGATTTTACTCGGCAAAATGAATTGCTTAAAAAGGTGAATAATCACATTATCTTCATCTTTGACATGGTTATTTACTTTAATGAACTATATTAATCTTTGATTACTTATATTCCAACAGGAAATAGTGAATAAGAAGCGGATTTACGATCAACAGAAATCTGAAAACATGGAGTTGAAAGCAAAGAAATTAAAGGTATTTTAATATTTACATCAATGGGTTCTTGATTTTATTTCCAATTATACTTATTTCCATTTTAAACCCAGATTTCCATGGAGGCCGGAAACACCAACAGACGTGAAAATTTGCATCAACAACCGTTGATGATGGAAATGGACAAGAATCCTGAACACCCGATTGGTGGAATGATTTGCTGGGTAACATCAAACATTGGGGGAATAAGCAAGCTAAATGATAATGTGGGACCACTGGGTGTCATCGATCTCAACGTATCACCAGAGGAAGGCTTTGGTTCTTCCATCTCATTTGATCTGGAAACAGCAACAAAGGCAAGAGCTGCTGAAGCCAGGCTTAAAAGGAGACAGATTTGCAAGTCCAAGCATTCTAATTCTGCATGTAAAGCTCGTCATCCCTCGTAGATGATTCAATTTTTTTTTAGGAGTATGGCAATTGTAAATTGGACAATTTTTTTTTGAGAGAGAGAGAGAATTTGCATAAAGGCTAACCATCCAATCAATGAATGATTTAGGTGTCTGATGTAAAAAGACCAAACAGTCGAGCATCTAAATCGTAGAACGTGGAATTTGCTCCCGGTATTTAGAAGATTAAGTCTGTTTTAGTGGATTTATTTTTTAATATTTCTAATTTTACTCACTTTTTTGGTAATTTTATAAAAAATATATATTGTATAAAATTTACATGTAAAAACTTATTAAAAATTCCGTGATTTTCAGGACGTTGAGTCTACTAGGAGTGGAATTTGCAACTTTTAGTGAAAGTTTTTTTTAATTAATCGTTGGTATCTAATATATTGATCGATTAATTCAGATCGGTTACTGCAGAGGCGATGGTGACTCTCTCAATCCAGTTTGCTCCATTCGCAAACGTCATGATTCGAACCTCTAACATTGCTTAAGGGACCTAGTGTCTTATTATAATCAATATCAAATAGAGTTTTGAAACAAGTTAGTAACCCTTTTTAAAGCTTTTTTTAAAAAATTATCAAAATTTATTATATTTATTATTTTGATGTTGACTATAATAAGTAATCATTTTTATGCATTATAATAATTAGGTGGCATATTAAATATTTAAATTAAATTTTAAAATTGTGGTTCGTTGTGGATCCTGAAAGACTGAAAGGTTAGAAAACAGATAATATACTTTATTTGAAGTTCGAATACAGCAAAAATAGAACATTCATACCATCCAAGGAAATAAAATACAATACAATGATAGAGCAGAAAATCATACAAGCATTATTAACAACACAGTAACATTTGTAGTAGTAATGTATAGGCTGGGAATCTCAAACTTTCATTCGGGTTCATCGCATTTTCTCTCAAGTCTCGTAGTTCTCGTCCACACCTTCGTCCTCCTTGTACTCCGCCTCATCGTCCTCCACGGGCGCATCCTGGTATTGCTGATACTCTGCAACCAAGTCATTCATGTTGCTCTCCGCTTCACTGAACTCCATCTCATCCATCCCTTCACCGGTGTACCAATGCAAAAAGGCCTTGCGACGGAACATTGCAGTGAATTGTTCACTTACCCTCCTAAACATCTCCTGGACTGATGTCGAGTTCCAAAAAAATGTCGATGACATCTTCAAGCTCTTTGGTGGAATATCACAGACGCTGGACTTCACATTATTGGGTATCCACTCCACGAAGTAAGATGAATTCTTGTTTTGAACGTTAATCATCTGTCATCAACCTCTTTTGTGCTCATCTTGCCTCGGAACATAGCTGAGGCTGTCAGGTAGCGACCGTGGCGAGGGTCAGCAGCACACATCATGTTCTTGGCATTCCACATCTCCTGAGTCAACTCCGGGACTGTGAGAGAAATGCAATGCTGGGAACCGTGGAATGTGAGGGGTGCAAACCCAACCATAAAGAAGTGAAGACGTGGGAATGGGATCAGGTTCACAGCTAACTTTCAGAGGTCGGAGTTCAGCTGTCCAGGGAACCTCAGGCAGCATGTTACGCCACTCATAGTTGAGGATATCAAGTGGTTCATATCTCCAACTGCAGGATTAAAAGCGCAGAGTTAGTTTCACTATTTTAAAATTGTTTTGCGTTCATAACAAACCATTCATCAAGATTAAAATTTTATCACTTACAGCTTGGATTAGTGAGATTCAATGTCCGGAAGCAAATATCATAAAGTGCCTCATTGTCAAGAACCATGCATTCATCAGCATTCTCAACCAACCGGTGCACAGAAAGGGTGGCATTATACGGCTCCACAACTGTGTCCGAGACTTTAGGTGAAGGGAAAACAGAGAATGTCAACATCATTCTATCGGGATATTCCTCTCCGATTTTCAGTATAAGGAAAGTTCCCATGCCAGAGCCAGTTCCTCCTCCAAGTGAATGGCATACCTGGAAGCCTGGTCCAGAAGTAACATAAACAAGTGAACTTCATTATAAAATTCAAAGGGAAAGGACCATATTATTTAACCAAAAAGATTTCATCATTCATTAAATGCAGATAATTAAACACAAGTTGACTTTTAAACTAACCCTTCTCTAAGAGAAACAGAATTCACCCAATAAATAAGATTAACATGCTACAAGCGTACAATACATACTTAATACTACGATCAACAAAAGGAATTTAGATCAACTTCAGCCAGATCCAACTGTTACGGGTTGTATTTCTTGGGCACTGATATTCATGCCATACCATTATAAGATGATGACAGTGTTTGTCTTTTTCAGATAGATCTGGATCCAGAAATATGGTCATCTCTTTCTTTATCATGCTTACTACTTTTCATATTTTGCATAAAACTACATCTGATATTCATGCCAATGTTACAATCTACCTTTTGATTGTTATTGTTTTTAGATTGTTCTAAGTCACATGGTGTATGCATTTGTGCATGTTACTTATGATTCTCCATGCTCATTTACAGATCTTTCATTTTTTGCTTCAAGATTCAACTGTTAAAATATTGGCCAAGCCATAACAATAATGTAATGAGTGCATTCATATGGCGATGAGCTCGTAAGGGTCCCCATGCTCCACCAAATGCATTAAAAAGATTATCAAGGCTCCATCAATACTGTCGATAGAATAAAAGACGCAATGACTTGCGGTTGGGCAATCAAAAGCATATAATGAAGAGAAAAAAATAGAAAAAAAAGGAAAACCCATATAAATAAAAAAATCTGCTTATATAAATAAATAAATAAATTTATATATCTCAAAAGGTGATAAGACTCGTGGCCACTTTCGCCTCCACACCATACAAAAAGAAGATTACTAATAACAACGCAGTCTAAGCATTAGTCAACTAAAGAAAAAAGGCGGATCATGGAACATAGCAGCAGTAATTTAATTTAATTTAATTTAATTTTCACAGTGAATAATCAGTTATAATTTTGAAGATCATGCTATTGTTTACAGATTATAAGATAGGTAAAGTTGAGATTATTTCACCCTGATCCGAAAGTAGGAAATCAAATGGTCAACAGCGAGAGAAGTTCTATATCATTATCATGAAAGTGCTATCACAACTCAACTAGATACAGTTTCGAACTTCGAGACGAAAGCGAAAAAGCAAAACGATAAGACAACTCTAAGAAAATCAACGCAGATGTACCGAAATCTAAATTTATAGGATAATGAAGACGATAAATAATCCCGATTACTAAGAAAATGTAAAAGCAGGGAAATATTGCGTATACCTTGCAAGCAATCACAATTCTCAGCCTCTTTACGAACAACATCAAGAACAGCATCAATCAACTCGGCACCTTCAGTGTAATTAACCTTTGGCCCAGTTGTTTCCAGCACCAGATTGTCCAAACACGAAATTATCAGGCCTAAATATCTGGCCGTAAGGACCAGATCTGATGCTATCCATAGTACCGGGGTCGAGATCCATGAGAACCGCACGAGGGACGTACCTTCCACCGGAGGCCTCATTATAATACACATTGATACGCTCCAGCTGGTTTGCGGATGATTCACTATCCGCATTGAACCTACCAGTTGGATCAATATCGTGCTCGTCGCAGATCACTTCCGAAAACTTGGATCCGATTTGGTTCCCGAATTGGCCTCCTCGAACGTGAAGGATTTCTCTCATCGTCGATTTTTGTCGAGTGAGAAAAAGGACAAGAAAAGAAGAATTAGAGAGGTTTTGTTAGGGTTGGAAGAGGAAATGGAAGGGAATTTGTGAGGGGAAAGGGAAGGAATGGATAATAATATAAGGAAGACGAGATGATATTTTTCAAGGATCGTCCGTCCATGAGTGGAATGGGACGGTTGATATTTTTTGAGAGAGAGGTAGTACGGACGTCAACTAATCGTCCACTCCCGCTCGTCCCAAGGGGTTGCGTTCGTTGGATATGTTGCTAAAGGCCTTAAAAAACAAATTATAATAAATTGATAAAAATTTGTGATTACACGTCTATCTCAGCTCCTCTCTGCATACTACAGCTTTCACTTCTTTAGGGGGTTCCAAAAATTCTTGTGTCCCTTGGGATAGTGACTAGGCGTATTTTGCTGGGCCATCTACTACCATATTACTACACCTAAGCTTACCTAAACATTAAGTGACCATGATTCATATACGATGTCAGTTTATATCAATTCATAAGTTATGTTGAACCGAACTTTCTTTGGACGGAAGTATGCATTAAAAGTGACAAAAAGCTTTGCGTTTCCTTTCTATAAAATTAAACACCATTTCCGAAATTGTAGAAAATAAACCTACCGAATATTCCATTAAGCATTTTTTACACAACTTGGATGAATAAAGCATAATCCATATGGAACTTCAACATCTTCATGTAGTTCTAGTGTTGTGGTTGAGACTCATTACAGAACCGTTTGAAGTTTAACGACTCGTCCACCAAGAAGTCGCTGGAGAAATCGATTCACATTAGCAAGATACACAGAAAAAAGGATCTAAAATCTAAAAAGACGGTATAGAAACTCACAATATCCGCTCAGCCATTTGTGATGCCTCCCATCTTGGACTCCATGGATATTCTGATAGAAGGGGTGACTTTTTCGGTATTCCTTGCGGTGATATATGCTGCAATATGTCACAATGGTAACATATTTAATTAGCCAATTTGCAAAGGAACCATTTAATCAGCCAAGAGGAAAAAATGTCATCGTTTTCCAATTAGTGGAACTGATACTGTGCAGAAACATAAAAGTCAGTTGGTCCTAAAAACTTATTCGGAAATATCATCAAACAAGTATATGATTAACATGTGTATATTACTATTTAGGACCTAAATATACTAAAATGGGATCTAAATATTCTACTCAAGAACCTGAGTGCTTTACATTTAGGAAAAGCAAATGGTATTACCTGAGAACTTTGGAGCATCACAGCTGGCCGCTGCTTAGGAAACTGAGTTGAAATAAGAAAATGTACCTACAACAACAGTACTATCAAAAGTTAATTTTGTCAGAGGCCAAGTTCAGTAAAAAATATGGATACGAAAAGTTAGATTCAAAAACTAATTGCACTGAAACCAAATGCAATCATAATGTGACAAAAACATCCTAAACGATCTCATTCAAGGTTAGCTGAAGTAATCCTCTATAAGTCCTAAACATTAAAAACACCAAAACAGAAAATGGTATATATAATTAGTAATTATCTAATGGTACCAGGAAAACAAAGGATCCAGATGAAGCAAGAAATGTGGCCTTCCCGCAAAAGACCTGCCAAGGAAAACGATGAATATCTACCAATCAATGAATGTTGAAGGATTTAAGATTTAACATATAAAGATAAATGGCAAGATTAGTGCGCACCGGATCAGCTTCCAAAGGTCTTCCAAACAATGGGGTTAATGACTCTATAAAACGTCTTCTTACATCAATTAATGAAACAGATTCCACGACCTGGAAAACAAACAAGAATACAGATGACTCCTCTTAACCACTTAAAGTAAAGCCTAGATGAAGAAAAGAAGCTGACCTGTTTCTGAAGAGATTCCTCTAGATGAGGAAGATACTCAGCCATGCACCTTCAAAAGCCAACAGAAATTTGTCATCACAAATTGTTTTTACCTTTCAAGAAATGCAACACATAAAAGTAGAATAATGCACATAACTTACATTCCATCCAACCACGAAGGAAGCTTGACATCCTCGATAGAAAACAGAGCTCCCAGCTCAGCAGTTGACATCAATTTCAGACGAGGTGGTGAAGGAGTAGATGAATACTTCTTTCCTACAGGATATATTACCTGTAAAATTACAAACTCATTAGAGGTGGGAAAGAAATAGAGGACAGAAGCGAAGAAAGAAGCCGAACATCAATTCAACTACATATAAGTTACTAATAAGAATTAAACTACACATAAATGAGAGGGAAAAGAAGGAAAGGTAAACCTGTAAGTATATCTTTTGCGGATGTCTCCAGGGGAACCCATGCACCATCTTGTTTATGTTCATATCCATGAGAGGCACTGCAAATTTGACCTCTTTTGGCTACGGTAAGATTCAAAGGCATAAGACCATGGATTTAATTAAAAACCAATTATTTTTTGAGCACACAAAACCTACTTATAAATATCATACTATAAAAAGAATACCTTTTCAGCACCTGAACTAATTTGCATTTCAATTCCCTGCAAAACAGTGAATAAATAGGAAAAGTGGAAAGAGTTAAGGCACTAATCAATTAATTCAGTTTACAAATGTGGGCATCTCATAAAAATTTTACTGCTAGATAGAAAAATAGAAGGATAGGAGGAGGGGAGAAATAATTATGTCAAAAAGTTTGCACATTGATATCAAAGACTTGACGGAGTCTAAAATACTAAAAAGTTCAATATGCAATTATTTGATGGTCAATCTTTTATCTTTCAGTTAATACATATGGCGATAGACATGCACAAGAATTGCAAAGGAAATGAAGAATAAAGAAAGACATGTATATTAAGGTTAAATATGTGGTGTTAAGGTCAATATTCAATGATAGACTTCCTTTTATGAGACCAAGAACATTGAGAAAAAGGGTATCAACAAGGAAATGCCTCTGAATTTGCACATTATCTCCTCATTCATTACTCTTAACCTCAATGAATATATATAAAAGAATTGCAATTCAGGTTAAGAAAACAACACAGCAGGATCTTCAAATCTTTCTCCATCAGAAACCACACTTAAGTGCCAACTGCAAAGAGATTACCTCTCGTGAACAAATAGTGCTAATCTCAAATGTCAACCTATCATCATCCACTTCTCCAACACGTTTCTTCTGGTAGGCCATATATTGGTCCCTATTCAACAAGAAACTAACATGAACTTGTCTATTCTTTTTTCCACCAAGCATACAAAACTTTGATTTCCATTACAATAACAAGTGTCAATAAACATCAAGCCTAACCTCAATTCCTGAATTAAAGCTAGCAGCCTTGTTGGGTCTTTATGGTTCCAATCAGACAAAATGTTCCGAAACTTCGAGCCCCCCTCTCCAACACTGCCAGTCATGTGTAATGGGTGAAAATCCTCATCTTCAGGTCCAAATATAATATCCGGCGAAGCGAATGGGAACTCCGCATTGTAAATAATATCCCCTATATCAATGTTAACAAACTATCTATATAAGATCATCTAAATAGAAAACAATTTCAAAAACAGATATTGCACTTCGCAATAAAAAAGTTCTTACAGACATTTAACATAGTCTAGGCAATACGGAATATGCAATGTAAACCGATCGAGACCCCCGGCGTAGGTTTTGCCACCAGATGACACTTGCTCAACCTGCTCCTCAAAATTACAAGAGAAATTGAAATTTCCGTCACTGTTAAAACGGAAACCTAGTTCTTGATCGAAGTACTTTCGTTGATTGAAATGAACAATTTGAAGGAAAGATGGGGGAATGGGGTTTAGATGGAGTTACCTTGATTTTCTCGTGGAAGTGATTGATGAGATAATGGAGCTGAGCTGAAATGAATGGAGGGAAGCCATCGAAAGACATGGCTAGCTAGTTAACCGGCTTCAAAGAAATCAATTACGATGATGTTTCTTGACTTTATGAAGCTTAAAGCCGACAATTTTGCGGCGACGGGTTTTAAACTCGCCGGCAATCAACCGGTCTACCGACAAAGAAAAAAAGGGTGAGCGACCAGTGAATTTGTTAATGGTTAAGAACATTTGTAAATTGAAGAATAGGATGACAATGGGTATGGGCGACCCTATAATCGGGTCACCCGGACCCGGTATCACCCGACTTGGTGAAGGAGTCGACAAAGCAATATTTTTTTTGGGTAAACTACACTTAAAGTCACTTATGTATGAATTTAATAATAAACAAATCAGTCTTTTCTAAACATTACAAACCTATTAATTAATTAAAATATTATTACAAATATATCGCTAGCCGTTAAATATTATATAAAAATAATAATTTTAATTCTTAGAATTTATACATTCTATTAATTTAATCCTATCTTAAAATAATTTAATAAGTGTAATCTTTCATATTTAAATATTTTTATCATTTTAACTTTTATTTTCACAAGTTATTTGTTCTTCTCCCAAGATGTTATATTACTTTCATATCGCTTTTTTGGTAATTTAACGAAAATTTGTTATTGTTTTATGGTGGAATGTAATTATACATCTAGTGTTTTGATTCAATGGGCTCACTTGGTACGACAATGTCACAAAAAAGAATAAATTGATATAATTTTTAAATATAAAAGGTTAAATATGTTTCCTACTGTTTCTCGACACACTCGGAAAACTCCGGACCCCGTTTTGCTCATCGAGAATACGATCGTCAACATTCAGAATCAACATTATACGATCTTTCCCACTGTAAGTTTGTTGTATTGCAGATCATGGAAAAGTTGGTGGATTTTGTTAACTTATAAGCATCAAGCAATCTCTGAAGCCTTTGGAGGATATCACATATAGATTCAATGCTTGTAAAATTATAAGTTCGGAGAACGTCAGTTTGTGTAATTTGATGTTTTACTATGTTTTATAGGATATGATTTCGAACTCGCTGCAGACGAGACATCAACTAGAAAGGAGAGTATCGAAAATTAGGGATGAATCGAGGGGACGGGTGGGGGATAATTGTCCTCTTGAAATTTTGAAATTATAATATATTTTATATTTTTTCTATGTATTTTTTATTAAAAATCTATTTTCATTTTTTTAAAATTTTATAAGTTCAAATTCGATTTATGAAATTTTATAACATTGAGGTACAAAATTCCCAAGGACCGAACTTTCTGAAGAAGCAAACTTATTAAACAAGACAGGGCAACATTCAAAGAATTTCATCTTTAACCATTTTGTTGATCATTCTTTTGATTAAGATAAAGATAGTTATAAAATAATATATATTTTAAATATAATATTTGATAATATAAAATATTTTTCAAGTATTAGATATTAAATGTTTAATCATTCATATTATAATCAATAGATCTTAAATTTAAGATCTCTAAAAATAACAATTATTTTTTAATCACTAAAATAATTTAATTCTTTTATCATTCTTAAAAATTCTTTAAATAATTACATTTTTCATACAAAAAATAAAATATATTTATTATATTCATATGTCAATAAAATCTATTAAATATTTTTTTAGGGCCAGTTTGATAGGGTTTTAAAAAATGAATTTTAAGAGTGTAATAAAAAAAACTTTTAAAAGAGTTATTTATAAATACAGTTTAAAATTTAATTGTTTAAGATTATTGTTAAAAAAATAAATTTAAAAAATAAAATCTCAATGATAAATCTTATATTGTAAATTAAAAATATAGAATCTAAATTATATTTATACTTATTAATATTATAATATATAAAATATATTACTTAAAATATAAAAAAAATATAAAAAAAAATAGCGCGCGATAGCAGGTCTTCTGTTCATCGGGGGTTGACTCTTTTTGATCAGTTTTCCTGGTGATTTTGGGTTGCTGATCTTGGATGAGTTCGGGGGATGGGGTCGGCTCAAGTTGCATGAACTGGCGGTTGTTGTTTGTCGCAAAGAAGAATCTGGCGCTTCAGTTTTTTCCCACCGGATCTTATGGATGGTGAGATCAGAATTAAAACGCCAACTGAGGTTTTTGACGAGGGAGTTCAGGTCTGGAAAAATGCTCTGGCTGCGCAGTTTTTGGGTAAGTCTCCTAAGTTCTTAACGCTTCAGAGATTGGTTAATTCTATTTGCGGACGGTATGGGATATTGTCATTAACTCTGTGGGGGATGAACTTTTTTGTTTCAATTTTCGAGCTCAGGATCTTGTGATGGGTGCTCTCAAACGGTCCTTGGCATATTCAAAACAAACCGATTATTTGCCGTCGATGGGAGCCTAATTTGCAGTCATTAGAATTTAAGATGGATAAGATTCCTGTTTGGGTACATCTCAATCGAATTCCGTTGGAATTGTTCATGAGCATAGGTTTGAGTTATATTGCTATCGCTCTCGGTGCCCCCTTTGTATATGGATGAGTTCACTGCTCATAGACATAGGGTGACCAATTCATTTGCATCACTTTCACTTATACGCATTGTGTTCAATGCTTTGCGTTAGGGAAATTGCTTCGAGAAGCAGATCCCGAATTGATGGAAGCTTTGATTCAAGCTACAAAGGTGGGTGACCAGAAAACATTGCAGGCTTTAGCTGGTTCAAAGACACAAATCGTTGAAGAAGAAGATGACGAAGACCCATTCGAATATACTGTAATTTAAGTTTTATTTTGAGACTTATAGTAAGCTTAAGCCGATTACACTCACATATCGTGTTGTCTTACCATTTCTTTTACGTGCTGCAGTCACAATAGTTCATTAACATTGCAAATAGATGGTTTGATGGGTTGATCAGCAAGGACATTGAAATTACAAACGAAGTATTTTCGGTTAGCAGTGTCGAATTTGATCGCCAGGTTAGCAAACCAAATAAAATGTTTCTCATATGTAGTCAGAGTTCTCTTGTACACGACTGCTTTGATCGGTATGTCAGGCATGCAAATCGGTATGCAGTGCTCCTTACACCTGCAACCTATAATTATACTGCAGCCCATATACATAAGGAATTCGTAGTTATCCTAGGAAGAATTGAAAATGAGTCTGGCAACAGCCGGGTGCAATTCGTCATCCCAAGCTGTTGGTCAGGCGAAGTTGCTTGATATATTTGCCATATCCCATATGGATTATTTCATTTCATCGAGTAGTTTTGCTTCGACAGGAATTGCGTAAGCTTGTTTGAAGAGTACAAACGAGTCAAGAACAAAGCCAGAATTCGACTGAAGAAAAGGCCAAAACAGACGTAGCAGTAAAGAATGCTGAAAAGTCCCTCACTCGTTTACTTCGTACCCTCGCCAAGCAATTGCCAACAGAAGAGAGTTTTGATTAATTTGTTCTGAAATATCTTTAATTTTATTGGTTCGAAGGGTAGCATATTTTTGTACCATAATTAAACCCTTCTTCCTATGCATGATGTATAGCATGCGATGCGATTGAAGTCCTAGAAATTGTAAACTCCTCGAGACCATGAGGCATGTTCAGTGGCCCAACCAATGAAGCAAGGTAAAAATGGGTTTCATTAAGAGCCATACTAAAATATCCACTGAAGACCAGGTGAACCTAGTAGCCAGCTTACTGTTGACTTGGTTTTCTGCACCATTGACTGTCAGTAATGATCTTTGGGTTAGTTTTGAGAAAGCACAATTTCCCTCGTAAAAACCCATGCTTCGCCATTGAAGAATCTTACAATTCCCCCAACACCCATTTCTGAACAACAAGAAGAGTGTTGGATTTTGCCCATAGCCCAACTTTCTTTCTTATTTTATAAATAGAATTGTTATTACAATAAATTTGATTCGTTGAACATATTTTGTTTTGTCCAAAGTTCCACTGTTAAAGTTTTAAGTGCCATCTTCTTTGGGCAGATTTTAGTTTGTAGTAGATTGGACCAGCTTAATAAGTCAGCCGGTTATTTGTATTTCTACCCGATTCTACATTGGGCACGAAGACCCCATGCCTAATTCAATGTACCAGGTAACTTGTAGGCCACAGAGGCAGGTTGATCTTCCAAGTATTAACAGATCAAGTCAAATTCAAATACTTTAATATCGGATTTGAATTTATTTTAAATTTTATTCTAATATATTTAATTTTAAAAAATAAATAATACTTGCTCTAATCAAATTTGAGCTGGAAAAACTCAAACAAGCTTACCAAAGACAATTCCTGGCTACTATACATTAACTCTACCATCATCAAATGCTTTCTTTTATGGAAGTTTCAAAAATTGAAAATGCATTGATGTAGTTTCTTTGGATTCCCTTGAGAGGGACCGGAGCCAAAAGAGGAAAAACTCAAAAAAGGCATATCACCTGAGGCTTCAGACAATCTACAACTCATCCTTGAGATCAGGAGACACATCTGTACTAGGTTCGGCTTTGCCCTTCGGACTGCCCGAACCTGCTTTTGTCTCGGTCTCTGTCTCGGCCTCTTCTACATCCTTTTCCTCCTCCTCGATTATTGCATCTGGACTGATACTTGGGCTAGACTAAACTGAGCTGTAGGGTCGGGTAAAGAGAAGCCACTCTCCATCAAAGCTGTCTGATATATAAGCTGAGTCGTTTCCTTCACACCTTCATCCTGAAGATGCACCAGTGTAATGCGTGAAACAAGATGAAGGAAAATTACTAATGCCTATAGAACATGGTGTCGTTTGACATGTTTGTTTCGGTTTAAATGTTCATACCTCAGGGTCCTTAACAACTCTCTCCCGAAGCTCCTTGATAATTGGGTGCCTTGGGTTGATTTCAAGGATCCTCTTGCCCTTCATGTATGATTTCTTTCTAGCATCTGATAGTGTTTGAGCTTGCATGATTCTCTCCATGTTAGCGCTCCATCCGAACTTCGATGTGACGACCACACGAGGAGTGTTGTCCAAACGGTTGCTTATTTTCACCTCATCAACTTTGTCAGTGGTAAGTGTACCCTTCCACCATTTGGTTAGTTCCTTAAATGACTCCTTGAGTTCTTTGTTCTTCTTGTCCTTTCCAAGTTTTAGGCCTTCCTTGGACACATTTTGGAACTGTTTCCCTTCATAATCCATCAGGTATTGCATCAGGTATTCGTCAACAGGATCAGTGAAGAAAATGACCTGAA